GGTCCCAATCTCAGGTCTGATCTCAATCTCGATCGGGTCCTGATCTGGTCCCGGTCTGGTCTCAGTCTCAGTCCCGCTCTGATCCCGGTCTGATCTCAGTCTCGGTCTGGTCCCGGTCTGGTCTCGGTCTCAGTCCCGCTCTGGTCCCAGACTTGGATCAGTCCTGGTTCAGTTATTGCCGTTATCCGTTTTTTCCATTCTTCATTTAAACACAAAATCGAAAACTGAAAAAAACAAAGTCATTATCTGTTTTTTCATTTTGGTTTTGGAGACAAATAATGGAGAAAATAGATGTTTTTTACATTTTTTTAATTTTTGGTTTTATATTGAAAAACGAATGAATACACGGATTGTCCTGGTTTATCGTCCCGTATTCCGATTGCTTCTTTAATCCAGCGATAGTCTTTCGTTTCCCTCTGTCCCAGTGATGCTGCCGCTCAATTTAATTTCTCTCCAGTGACTAGGTCAGGAATCGAAATACAATAAACGGTTCGCAAAAAACCCAGAAGTGCGAGTTCGGGCACCAGCCAATCAGTGAAGAGCCAGACATTCTGTGTTGACAACGAATCCAGAGATCGAGGATTTAAAGCCGGAACAAAGAGAATGTTTGGTGAATTTTATCAAAGGGAAAGACGTTGTCCTTTTTCCTATGGGATTTGGAAAGAGCTTAAAGGTTCCATCTCATGTAAAATCAACTTTTCAGAGCTTTCTACCTTCTAAGAGTGATGTGTGGGCCTTGTATTTGTCGCTGAAGTGGTTTTTAGATTGATTCGGCTTTATTTTTTTAACAAATTACAGCGTATTTCTGCCACCTTCCCATGTGACAACGAACTAAAGCTGCTACGATGACGCGGCAGATTCACCTGTGACGAGTTTGACATAACAGAAAACGCTTCAGACCCGCCTCCACCCCGACTCCTCCAGTCTACACGATATAATAAGTTTATCTACTAGTGTTTATTAAAGGTTGAATAGAAGATTTTCCAAAGAAAGACAAATGCAGCGACGGTTCGTCCTTTTCTAAATGTTACGCTTCGCTCCTTTTCCTGTTCTCTTCTTCTTTCCACAACGTCAAAAACTGACTTTCTTTTGCGATGAACTGGTCATGAATTCTTGTCGGCCATTACAACAAACTTTGTGCACACTGAGAGGAAGCTGCAGTTGGAAAAAGACGCCAAGAGCCGCTGTGCTGGTTGTGTAAACCGCATCATTGCGTGAGAGGGGAACATAAACCATGTAATCCCAGCGCGCCGGCGAGTCAGTGACGCTAGAAACGTAGGGAGTTTGATTAACAACCCAACAGCCAATAGATAAAGAGGTAGCCTTGTTTTCTATTGGCTCATGTTTATCAGGCCTCATACTTTACCAATCAGTAATGTTCAGCTGATGTGGACTTGGTGCTTGAGCTTCGTGCTCCTCAAAGTCCTCGTCCGATTCTGGGTCCAACACATGCGGCTGAACGCGCTGTATCTCCATGATGAATAAAAGTTTATTCCTGCCGCTATCAGGGTGCACGTCTGTCTCCCCCTCCCTCCCTGAGATGGCGGAGGAAGGGCGGCTCACTCAGAGTCTACGTCACGTTTGGAGGGACGGACGGGGGGATGAGTAATAGTCGGACTTTCATAGTTCCTGGTCTGTGACTGATTCAAGAAATCAGTAAGATTTCATAACTATTGTGTAATGGATGTTCCAAAACCCAAATTGTGCTTGTTTATGTGCAGAAGATACAATGTGAAAAGAGTTATTTTGCACCAGATGGGTCCTTTAATATACCAGTTAACCCCGTTAGTGACGCATTACATACGTCACGACCAAACAGCAGCGATTGGTTAAATGATAAAAAGTACCCGCCTATCATTGAGCGAACGAAATCTAAGGCTGCAAGGTCAGACTTCGTTACACTTTGTACAAACCAGATGATGAATCAGGCTACTGATGTTTGCTCCGTACACGTAAGAAGGAACATAGAACAGAACGCGAGAAGGAAACAGCGAAGGCGAAACACGAGCAACAAAACAGAAACCAGAACAGGAACAACTCAAATCGGCTGTTTGTGACGAGTGTAAAAGAGAAAACCACATTCTGGACTAGGACGGATGAAAAAAAACATCGTCGCTGGATTAAAGAGGCAATCAGAATATGGAAACGTGCCCGCGGGACGATAAACCGGGACGAGGGTTGTTTTTTTTTTTTTTTTAACTCTCACACACACCTGGGATACTGTCCTGAGGAAGCGGGACTGCAGGTGGCGCTCAGCATTTGGAAGACAACGCCAAAACTTGTTTAAATCAGGTGAGCAGCACGTCAAAGAAACATCACAAGAATCTGAAGAAGACCACAGGAAGCAGACAAAAGTGTCAGGTCTGAAAACAAACTTTAAGTCTAAAACAAGAACCTAAGAACATAAAATATCGGAAGACCAAATGAACCTCTTTGGACTAGATCTGTGTTGTGTTTTGTTTCATCTGTTCATGTTTGAGTGATTAGAGCGTGACTAGCAGCATGGATATGACCAAAGGGAACAGTTACAGAGGTTTGAAGTGAAGACAACTCAGTGCGTTTTGTGTTCTGCTTGTGAGCGCTTGAAAGCAGGAAGTGCTCCTGTTTGAGTGTTCAGTGTTCAGGATACTTCACTGATCCTTAAACTTGTGAATGAATCAAAATACAAAACCTACGCCTGTGTGTTTAGGTCAAAAAATGCATTTTGAGGCTGAAAATGAGCAGTCGCTGAGCAGACGGCCACACACCGGTGCTCAGTGCGTCATTTAGATCAATGTTTTTTCTGGGGACCCATATTTTAAAAGTCACAAACCTTCACGACCCAAGTCAATAGACGTTATTCGTAAATCACAAAAATAAAGGTGGATTTGAGCATTATTGAACATTAATGAGGATATTTTGTTGTTGAATTGTTAAACAATGAAAAACAGTGATTGAAGCAGCAAAAAAAGGATCCATACGTTTCCTGAAGTGCACTGACCTTTGCTGATTTATCACCTTCTTTTTGGACAACCAAGCAAACATTTCTCAACTTTAGCTGCAGGAACACTCGTCCAGGGCAGGCAGAGAGGATTCGCTGATTCGTTGATTCTCTCGTGTGTCAGAACTGTATATTTCAGACCTACATGCAGATCGTGACAAGGTGACCCCAAAAAAAATCTCTTGATCCAGTCTTTGGGAAACAAAGACCTAAACACCCTCTGTCCTTTTAATACGGCCAAGACAGTGTCATGTGATGTTTCTGAGGTCATAGTTGTAGAATTATTTAAATTCACAGTTAAAATTTGGACCAACTCAGCAGGAAACCAAAGGGCCATGTTTGGTTGGTAGTTTGAACCCCCTGCTGTATATTAAAAGTAAAAGAGCCTTTGAACGTGTTTTGAGTGACGACACAAAAGTGACTTCTGCTGTTCCATGTGTCGTGTTTAATACATTTTATATCTGAAACAGGCAGATCCAGAGTTTAATGGTGCGTTCAGACCACGGTGGCAAAAAAACGCCCTAAATGCCTCTATTTGGACGCCTTTGCATCGGAGTTCAGACGCCGTGTCCATTGCCCTGATCGTCTCTGATTGGTTGGCGCGTCGCGTCCAGAAGTTCTCCATGTTCAACTTCTGACGCTGACCCCCTGGTCGTGCATCTAGAGCAGAGGTGTCGAACTCATTTTGGTCCGGGGGCCGAATCCAACCCACTTTGATCCTAAAGGGGCCGGATCAAAAAACTCATGTCATATAAACTATAAAAAATAACAATAAGTTCAAATATTTGTGCAGAGAAACACAAATCTATTACAGAAATCTTTTTTAACTGATGAACTCTTTCTTTTACAAAATATTATTATATTATAATATTATGAACAACCTGAAACTTCAATTCAAATTTCAACACAATGTTTTAACATGAACTTGTATGTAAATAGGAATAAGTCAATTTTTGTTGGAAAATCCTGCACTCGGCTCCACTTTTCTCATGTTTGGACATTTTTCTGATGAGGGTGTCACGGTCAACAGTCAAAACGAT